TATATACATGTATATACGTCATAACTTAAATTGTAATGGCCTATGTCTCACTGCAAAAATAAATGACCATGTTCTCCTACAAAGTTAATGAAGTTTTTCGTTGGCTAGTTCTCTCTAGTTTCTAGTTGTTTACGTTTAATTTTAAGTTGAGAGCAGAAAACTGCATATTTTGTGATATAATATTTAAGAAGATACCTTTTGACAAATTTCATTCAATTCTACTTTTAGAGAATTATATTTTGTTTTTAAGTTAACGGAAGGACTGGCAGACGTGGGACGGAATATAATGACAATAGTTCACACTGTCAATTAAATATATCGGATGAACAGACTGACCTTACCACATGTACCAATATCTTTGTCTTTTACGGCAGGAGATATATTGAGAATAGCGTTCATAACGCGAAAAACTAAATTTGCTAAGAGTTTTTTTATTGAACCTTTTTTTCTGAAAGTAATGGTAGCAATGAACTTAAGTTTACAAAAAAAAAAAAAAAAAATGAATGCCGTAATTCTCTTTTTCTCTGTTGGAATAGCTAGGTCAATTAGTCTTTTTAAAAGACCAGTTTGTCGAGTTTGTTGAACACATACTTAGACTATGAAAACAAGTAAGATGAGATCACTAGTGGAACATGAATTCAGTTGTGTCTGTTCGTCTTGTGATGTACGTTTGTACATGAAAATGTAGGACGTTATATTGTAAATCAACTTATTTTCGCGAGCAATTTTTTTCATGACTTTCGCGAGAAGAAAAATAACGCGAATATAAATCGTTGGGAATATGTAAAACCTGGATCGTTCCTTATTTAAGAAAATTTGAAAATAACGGAATTTAATCTCCGTGAAATTGACTTGTAATGGCTAAACGCGAAATAAAGTATCCGCGAAAATATGTTGGTTTACAGTATCAAAAAGGAACCAGAAGCATTTTATACTGTTTTATTGATGATTGATGCAAAACATTTACAAATTTCGACTCATGTTGTATGCTACGCATGGTGTTTTATATTAAAACGTAAAAAAGCATGATTCTTTTTTTTAATTTGTGTTAGTTTGAAACAAGTATATTTAGAAGATTTATTTGCAATTCAGACGTAGCTTCGTGATAAAGTACTCAGCCACCCATGGCACTGAGTAAGTGATAGTCTCATTATGTTCAAGTTTAGTTGGCGTATTGCTTGCTAAGATTGTCAAATTATTTTAATAAAGTCGTTCATTTTTTATACTTTGTAATACTTTTGATTTGTCCTCCTCCCTTGGGGAAAAAATACAATTTAAAGTATCAAAAAGGCTACTTTTATTTCAACATGTATGTGTACACCTATGATGGTATATTCTATATCATTTGGAAATTTCTCTCTAGTTGTTTTATCTGAACATGAAATCCTATTTCATTTAACCTCATTATTTTTAATGGCCATAGCCAGATAGGCAAAACTTGTTGGAATTGGTGGTTTTTTAAGCAGTGTTTGTCAACTTCGTTAGGCCTTCCAACTATTTTGATTCAAGCACCACTTATGAATCGTATGTAGACGAAATGCGCGCCTGGCGTACCAAATTATAAGACTAATATCTTTACGGGGGTAAACATACGAAATGCTTTGCAACATACAAGGGGCCTAAGTATTTAAACATCTTTAGGTCAAGAGTCTATGTCCTGTAGTTTTCAATTCAATATTTATGATAAATACACGGTTTAACCCGAACCTAGACTTATATCCTATTATTTGCCTAACTGAAACTACAAAAATGTAAATCATCTCTCACAAGTAACTTAATACACATTATAAGTCCCTAGAACTATTAAAAACAAACAATTTGGCGATTACGGAATAAATGAATTGAAAAGTGTATAAACACATACGCACAGAACTTTACAGCAATGTTTGCGAGGAAACAATATATATTTCATATTTTTTTTATTAAATATTAGTAAATTATTGTGACTGTAACTTGGAAGCCGACAATTTGTTATTTTGATAAACTAGTACATTGTAATTAATAAATAAAAACTTTTTGAACAAGTTAACTATCCAAAACTGTCTAAAAAGTTATAGTATCCAGCGCAAAAAGTTATGGCATAAAATATCTCAGCTTTATTTTAAATTACAAATCCGAAATAATTAAACAATATTGTTAGACCTTAACATATTGCATATCAATCTTGTTCGGGTTAAGTTTTCTTTAAGGCTGTTGACAGTCGCTACTTCCCGTTATATAATTGACAGTAAAAATTATCTCCGCCTCCTTTTAAACACATCTATTATCACGTTAATCATTGGGCTCCATGTATCAGCTTTAAAAAAACAGTGGTCATATTCAAATTTCATTAACATTTTATTTTGCATGTAATATGTACAACTGGTATTTAATCAATAATCCGTAATAAGTAGCTAAAGGTCCATTTAAAAAATGTCAATTACTACTGTCTCATATGACACACAATCGATGTTTTGTTATCTAAACCATCTAGACAATTATTAACAACGATTTACACCACAATGATAACATTTTGTTTTTCATATTTACTACTACAAGTTCATATTTTTGTATGAAAAAAGAGGCGAAAGATACCAAAGGGACATTCAAAACTCATTAGTCGAAGAAAAACTGACAATGTCAAGGTAAAACACGGAAAAAAGAGGAAAGACGAACAAGTCCACAAAACACTGAACAGCGGTATAATACTGCTGCCTCTATATAGAAAAAACAAGAATGAGCAACACGAACCTCACCAAAGAAATGAGGTTGAAATCATGTGCTCCTTAAGAGTGAATAACTTCAGCGCCACATGTTTATCTCCCGCCAGAATATACTTGTTATACGTTTAGTTACCCACAGTTGACTTGCTAACAATATTCACTCATATATCAACATTTAAACAATCAAACGTCAGTTGACAAACCATCTGACTCATGATGTATTATGATTCATTTGGAATCATGCCTACGACACTAATAGTAATGTCACCATTTAAATCCACTTATAACATCAACAATCATATTGTATAAAATTGGCCACATTTAAATTATCGAATGAATAAGTAATACTTTTCCCCACCATTCCGTTTCGTTTTTAGAATTTTTTTTTTGCTTTTGACATTGAATAATTCCAGGCGAAAACAACTTTACTCTTAGTAGCTTACCTTCATATTTAAAATGTGTATGTTTGAATAGTATTTAGTCAATAGTATGTGTGATTTACACAAAAATTTTGAAAATAAAAGAGGAAAATTGGAAAAAAAATTCCAACTATTATTATAATGCAATAGAAAGATAGGATATAAATGATGGTTTGGGAGGAATGATTTCTAATTCATTATGATGATGTGATTTAGAATAAGTTTGAATATAATTTTTAAATCTTGTTACCTATTACTGAATTGTTTCTTGTTTTACCATAGATCGTTTATATGTACAACTTAATATTTGAGGCCCACGATATATATATATATTTTGAGAATAGAAAATATCTACCAGTTTTCAAATGAGAAATCCGATTTTTGAATAGATTTCAAGCCCAGAAATTGTTGCATACAATCTTATCCAGCTAAAGCTTTCTTAATTGATTTTGGACCTCCATTCAAAATCAAAATTGTAATATCTGCAAACTACACGAACTATAATATATCATATTAACTCAATGTGTCGTTTCTTTCGCTATTATTCATATTCAATTCGTCTTATTTGATCTCAAGGAACTTAATTGATCACTTTTATAATGTTCTATTTTTGGTTTCAAATTTAATAAACTGCGTTAGTGTTTTTTTTTTTTTTACAATATTGCGTACAATGGTATTCATTAACGGTTTCTGTCTCTAGATTTTTTTCTAAAAAGGAAGTATATATATAAAAAAAAGTGGTATGATTGCCAATGAGACAACTCTTCACAAGAGACCAAATATCAGTGACTGCTTTATCAAGTGTTCCTATTACTTTTCCTTTCTTCAGCAGAATTTGTAGCATTCCAGAATTTGTCAAATCGAGACAAAGACAACTTTACTTTTCGCATCATATCTTCATATTTGATATGTCTATGATTAAATAGTATTTAGCTTTTTCGATGTGGGATTTACATTTATTTAACTTGTGAATAACGACAGTATACCATTCATGTTCGTGCACTTCAACGCTTTAGCGGAGGAACTTTTAAAAAGGTAACATTTATCTTGTATGACTGCAACATTGTTCTACACGTAGCTGCTGAAAATGGAAGAGGAAAACTGGATAGAACAAAAACAATGTCAATATAATATGCACCTCGTTCTCTTCTATACTTAAGGTTTGAAGAACAGAAGATACAGTTATATATCAAAAGAAAAATAATATTAAACTATACACATATGCTGATCTATATAAAAATTAGAAGATGTGATTTGATTCCCAATGAAATAACTTTCAACCTGGTATCAAATGACGTAGATAAGGCAATTTGTTTGTTTCTGCTATATACTTTTGACAGCTTAAGTTTCATCTTATCCTATTTATATTGCCTTCTCTCATAACTTTTTCTTGAGGTCTGGCCGTAATGATACCAACAATATGAGTGTTACCAAGGTTTTGTTGGTTTATTAGTTTGTTGGTGAATTACATGTTTAATACCACGTTTAGTGATAGTAGCCACATCAAGGCGACCAGTAGTATTTTGGTGGAGAGAGCTTTAGTAAACAAAGACAACCACCGACCTTCGGCTGGGAAACTGGCAATCTTTGTCAATTTAGACAAGAGTTGAAAACACCTCACCATGACCATATTTTGTGTACAGAAGGTACAAAATTAGATTAATACAAATGTACTGTTTCAAAAGAAATGCAATGTATTAAAACATGTTAAGTGAAAATGATTTCATTTTATATATTCTAAATTAAATTATTGTGTCATTTGCCTTATTTTATTGAAATTTCAAATTGAATTATTGCCTACAGCGTTATTCAGATAAGATTCGTACATGTTTCTTCATTTTCTTTTAGTTCACTGAACATCGTAGCATTTCTTTTATAGGATGGGAACACTCCATTTGACATAGCTGCAGAAAAAGAATATTTCAAAATAGTAAAACTTTTATTAGAAAGAACAACTATAGATCGAAAAAAAGTATATAAGGTATGGAATGTACAACTTAAGAGGAGTTTCAAACGTTGCGTGGTCGACCTAAACAATTGTCAGCCTTAATCTACATATAAGTACCAACTTACAACTAATCTATAAACCTCAAAGGGAAACAGACGTACACTATTCACAAGGAATGCAAAGTCATCCACAGTGTGTAATTCAGTTGCTGTTGGGCAATTGCGGTTTCATGAAGAAAAAGTAAAGACTCAATTGGATATTCGAGTGAGGTGGAATCAAATTTAATCAGAAATCAAACTCGATACCCACAAATTGTTGACAACATAACGTATACACGTAACTTATATATTACAAAACTGTGTTTACTATTTATTGTATTTATTTAATCTGTTACATACCTGTACTAAAATTTATTTTTTTAACAGAATATTGGTAAGAACTGTAAATATTTCAACTGTTTATTTCAGGATGGGAACACTGTTTTACACAAAGCTGCTAGTAGTGGAGAACTCGAAATGGTCAAATTGTTACTCGAAACATCAAATATAGATCCCAATCACAAAAATAAGGTATAAAATATGAGGAATAAAGTATGTCTATGTGTTGTCTACTTGCACTGTGTCATATGGTTTGTTTATCAAATCGTCTAAGAATATTTTTCAAAAAAGATGTACCAATATTTTCTAAGTTTTTACGATAACACAGGTGCAATTAAAATTTATAATAAAAGGAAAAGTTATGCTTAAGTGTGTGGATCTCCATACCATCCCGGATCACCTACGTTTACTCCCATTATTTTTATTTGTTTCGTGTTGCTTAGTCCTAAGTTTCTAGGCAATGTTTTGTAAACGGTCTTTTTTCTTTAGTTTATGCCATTGTGTTGTCAGTTTGTCTTCTACTTATGGTTTTTGGTTGTTCCTTTGGTTTCTTTTAAAAAGCTATTTGAGATCCTTTTTTTTCAACTTTAAATCCTCTGTTACATAAACCCACATGGTCCACGTATTATAACACTCTGATTTCCGGGTGGAAATTAAAAGGAGAAAGAAAAAGCAAATCATATTATATTAATCAATCCAAGTGTATTTATCTATACATCATAAATGCAAGCATATTAGGTTGGAATAAGATATCTTATTTATGTGAACAATATAGTAGACATATTACACATCGAGTGTTGTGTACATACTTGTACAATAGTGGTAGACGATTTGGTCATTACAATAACTTGACCAGGCAAAATATTATGTATCTACCAAAGTCAAAATCATAACAGAACGGGCTTCATATTTCGTACTTTGTTCAAAAGATTAGATTCCTGTTATTTTATCAGGTCAATTTGTGCAGGCGTTCATAAAGCTTTAATCGGCAATATTGAACTATTCAGTGTCTTCTATCTGTTTATATATGTTTATCAAGTGTTCCTAATACTCTACATTTCTTCAGCAGAACGTTTAGCATTCCATAATTTGTCAAATCAAGACCAAGACAACTTTACTTTTCGCATCATGTCTTCATATTTAATATGTCTATGATTAAATAGTATTGAGTTATTTCGATGTGGGATTTACATTTATTTAACTTGTAAATAACGACAGTATACCATTTATGTTTGTGCACTTCAACGCTTCCGCGGAGAAACTTTGAATATGGTAACATGTATATTTTATGCCTACAACATTGTTCTACACGTAGCTGCTGAAACGGAAGAGGAAAACTGGACATAGCAAAAACAATGTTGTCAATATAACATGCACCTCGTTCCCTTCTGTACTTAGGGTTTGAAAAACAGAAGATACAGTTATACATCAAAAGAAAAATTATGTTAAAGTATACACATATGCTGATCTATATTAAAATTAGAAGATGTGATATGATTCCCAATGAAATAACTTTCAACCTGGTATCAAATGACGTAGATAATGCAATTTGTTTGTTTCTGCTATATACTTTTGACAGCTTAAGTTTCATCTTATCCTATTTATATTGCCTTCCCTCATAACTCTTTCTTGAGGTCTGGCCGTAATGATACCAACAATATGAGTGTTACCAAGGTTTTGTTGGTTCATTAGTTTGTTGGTGAATTACATGTTTAATACCACGTTTAGTGATAGTAGCCACATCAAGGCGACCAGTATTATTTTGGTGGAGAGAGCTTTAGTAAACAAAGACAACCACCGACCTTCGGCTGGGAAACTGGCAATCTTTGTCAATTAAGGCGAGAGTTGAAAACACCTCACCATGACCATATTTTGTTTACTTAAGTTACAAAATTAGATTAATACAAATGTACTGTTTCAAAAGAAATGCAATGTATTAAAACATGTTAAGTGAAAATGATTTCATTTTATATATTCTGAATTAAATTATTGTGTCATTTGCCTTATTTTATTGAAATTTCAAATTGAATTATTGCCTACGACGTTTTTCAAATAAGATTCGTACATGTTTCTTCATTTTCTTTTAGTTCTCTTAACATCGTAGCATTTCTTTTATAGGATGGGAACACTCCATTTGACATAGCTGCAGAAAAAGAACATTTCAAAATAGTAAAACCTTTATTAGAAAGAACAACTATAGATCGAAAAAAAGTATATAAGGTATGGAATGTACAACTTAAGAGGAGTTTCAAACGTTGCGTGGTCGACCTAAACAATTGTCAGCCTTAATCTACATATAAGTACCCACTTACAACTAATCTTTAAACCTCAAAGGGAAACAGACGTACAATATTCACAAGGAATGCAAAGTCATCCACAGTGTGTAATTCAGTTGCTGTTGGGCAATGGCGGTTTCATGAAGAAAAAGTAAAGATTCAATTGGATATTCGAGTCAGGTTGAATAAAATTTAATCAGCAATGAAACTCGATACCCACAAATTGTTGACAACATAACGTATACACGTAACTTATATATTACAAAACTGTGTTTATTATTTATTGTATTTATTTAATCTGTTACATACCTGTAATACAATTTAATTTTTTAACAGAATATTGGTAAGAACTGTAAATATTTCAACTGTTTATTTCAGGATGGGAACACTGTTTTACACAAAGCTGCTAGTAGTGGAGAACTCGAAATGGTCAAACTGTTACTCGAAACATCAAATATAGATCCCAATCAAAAGAATAAGGTATGAAATATGAGGAATAAAGTATGTCTATGCGTTGTCTACTTGCACTGTGTCATATGGTATGTTTATTAAATCGTCTCAGAATATTTTTCATAGAAGATGACCAATATTTTCTAAGTTTTTACGATAACACAGGTGCAAATAAATTTTATAATAAAAGGAAAAGTTATGCTTTAGTGTGTGGATCTCCATACCATCCCGGATCACCTACGTTTACTCCCGGTATTTTTATTTGTTTCGTGTTGCTTAGTCCTAAGTTTCTAGGCAATGGTTTGTAAACGGTCTTTTTTCTTTAGTTTATGCCATTGTGTTGTCAGTTTGTCTTCTACTTATGGTTTTTGGTTGTTCCTTTGGTATCTTTTAAAAAGCTATTTGAGATCCTTTTTTTCAACTTTAAATCCTCTGTTACATAAACCCACATGGTCCACGTATTATAACACTCTGATTTCCGGGTGGAAATTAAAAGGAGAAAGAAAAAGCAAATCATATTATATTAATCAATCCAAGTGTATTTATCTATGCATCATTAATTCAAGCATATTAAGTTGGAAGGAGATGTACTATCTATGTGAACAATATAGTAGACATATTACACAGCGAGTGTTGTGTACATACTTGTACAATAGTGGTAGATGATGTGGTCATTACAATAACTTGATCAGGCAAAATATTATGTATCTACCAAAGTCAAAATCATAACAGAAAGGGCTTCCTATTTCGTACTTTGTTCAAAAGATTAGATTCCTGTTATTTTATCAGGTCAATTTGTGCAGGCGTTCATAAAGCTTTAATCGGCAATATTGAACTAGTTAGTTTCTTCTATCTGTTTATATATGTAATCAATAGTATTCAAGTCCTAGTTATCTTTTACTTTATTTATTCCACAAGAATTAAACTGTGCATAATATAAAACTACGGAAGTTAATATTTTCATAACATATGGCCACTTTTATTTGCCAAATGCTTCTGCTCGCACAAGAACGTATAAAGTAAACGTCTGCTTGAACAAGAATATTAAAAGTAGTTTTTGTCCAATTGTTCGTCTAGTGAGGTTAAACAGTATTTACCTATTGTTTTCCATTGGTGATGTTTCTGAATTCATTATACTGTACAAGCTATTCAACTGTTTTGATTTTATAAGTCCCTTAAAATAATAATGCCTATTCATCCTCTTTCAACGGTAAACAGCATACCTTGAGCTTTTGTTTGTTTTTTTCCGTCCCTGAAAAGGACAACTCTAAATATTCTTAAGTTTTTTTTTTTTTATGTATTTCTGGAATGCCTCTTAGTTCAAGTTTATACACAATCAAAAACAACAAATGTAGATTTAATAGTTTTTCCATAAATGAGAGATCTCTTGATTTTAAAACCTCTATGCAACGTTTTATGTTGTTTTGTGTTTGTAACCAAATTTGATTAAACTCTGCCCCATATCAGTGTTGAAGACTTACTGCTTGTACAGGCCGCGGATGCTATTTAATTAATGCCTAAAGTTTTTTTTTCAGAAACTCATTCTAGCCCCTGAACATGCTAAAACCTTTATATGTGTATTGATTTAAATATTTCTTTGAATATTATTTTAGTATCCTTTCTATGTTAGGGTCAGTTGAAATTAGTGGTTCTGCTTGCAGTATAAATAACATGGGAGCAAAAGGGTAACCATGACGAATTCATCGGTTGTAGTCGGAAGAATAATAGTAATATGCATATAACATTACATAGTTAAAAATGTAAGTCATTCAGTGGGACATGATTTATTTAAAAGTTTGTTTTGCTTCTATTTTTCATTTTTGTAATTGTTCAAATGAATATATATAATAAGTTCTCAAATATGAAACAATATACGATAACTATGTATATACCTCTATGTTAGATGTATATACAGACTTGTAAAAATGACGTATTAATTATTGAAAATTGTGGCAATTAGCTGTTCAAGGCAAGGTATACGGTATTAAATTTACTGTGTACTGCTCGCAATGTTCTGGTTTTTTTTAGCAATTTGCAGTTGAAACTATATTATTCATTTTGGTAAACAATCGAATTAACAGCACCCCTTCTCCTTGATGAATTTATAATATCACCAAACATACAACTTCCCATTGTAAATTGAATACTTCCATACTTTGACAAAATCAAACAATGAATGTTTGTACATCCTAACATTTCTGAGATATATGTTTAATTGTTCATCCTTCTTCGTAGCAAACAGAACAGTTTGGCAAATTAATTGGAAAGTGTATAACAACATATGCACAACACTATACAGCAATACATATAACATTTTGTTAACAAATAATAGTGACTGTAACTTGGAAGTGAATACTATTTTCATTTTCTGATTCATTTAAATTGAAAACAAAATATACTTCTATGAATAAGTTTGCATTTACTTTCATTAATAAGTTCATTCAAATCCAAATTACAATAAACAAAACATCTAAGAAGTTAAAGTGTTCAGTACAAATTTTGGGCATCAAACATCTCAGCTATATTTATAATTACAAACTCAAACTACTTGTTTAAACAGGATAGTAACCTAAGCATACTGATGATGATGTTAAATGGCTGCTTAACGTCCAGAGGCAAATTAATATGCATATTTAGGACGAGAACATGTTAATGTAATATGAATATTAACCCTGCTTTGCGTGAGACCGAAACGATGAGCCAGATTTTCAACGTGCTAGTTCACAAGGTAACAATCCGCAAGAACACATATCACCTTACCCGGACACATTATTCTTACTCTTTAATGCCGCATGCTTAGCGGAGAAGCAGCAAATACCAATGTTTAAGTCTTTGGTTTGACCCGGCCGGGGTTTAAACCCACGACCTATCGCACTCGAAGCAAACACGCTGCCACGAGACCACCGAGGTGGTATCCTAAGCATGATGCATACCAAACTTATTGATATAAAGTTTCTTAAAAGGCTGTTGACTTCGATTCATAAACTTGGACGTGTCATCGGCAAACATTATCACCTAAAAATCATGTCACAGTGGTTGGAAGAAAAACTGAAAACACTATATCAGAAGATGAAATGAAAAAAAAAACCTTCTCCCACTGAGTAAGTAAAAAGTAACCTCCTGACGAAAAAGGTTCCTCAACACTACACAAAAACGCTTTAGAATAGAAAACAACACAGACACCACTAAAAAAAGGGGGTGACAATTTATCTCAGGAATTGATACAGCATAGCTGTTATATATAAAAGAATACACGACAACCAGTGGATAACGTATATGTTAGGCATCACTTTATTTCTCATAACATAAATCAAGCCTAAATACCACCAACGAGATAAATCCGTTTTAGCATTACAAGTAGGTAGCTAACTAAGCAATCATGAAAACTATTACCAAATGATTCTATCAAATTCTTTAATCCGCTATTGTAATTTTTTTTTTCGATGAACAGTCATTCACATTTTACAATTTAGTTAAATATTACAAACGTTTACTCTTAAATGATATAACTACTCAAAGGTCGATTTTTCAACGTTATAGTTTGAAGATTGTTTGCAAATCAGAGTTAGCTTCGTGATGAGACTACTCAAACCACCCTTGACCCTGAGTAAAAAATAGTCTCTAAATATCAGATTTAGCTTATTTTTTGCTATGATTGTCAAATTAGTTTGATGAAGTTGTTCATTTTTAAACCTTGTATAATTCTTTTGATTTTTCCTCCTCCTTGGCAAAAAGTACAAATTGGATTATCAAACAGGCTACTTTTTGAAACATGCATTTGTACACCTATATGCTGATATATTCTAGACTTTAACTCCTTCTGTCTTGTATTTTGTATAACTATACTAGAACATTTGGAAATTGATCTCCAGTCAGTTTATCTGAACCTGAATAGTGTAATGACAAACCAAGGAAAAGGTGCTTATTTTACGACTTTAATGGACAGGTATAACTGCAGGCTAAAAATCATATTTTTGCAAAGCCAATACCTTAATTTTATTTTTTTGCCCGGTAGTAGCCATTTCATATGGTGCAGTTTTTCATAAAATGGAAAGAAAAGAAATGTTGATTTTTCATTCAAAATGCACTTGACGAAATATCTTATGTTACTTTCTTTGATATAGTCCTCAAACTCCTGATTTTGGCATTTAATGAAGTGTTTGAGTGCGTATTCATATTGTAAAACTATCATTCTCTCTTTTTAGCCTTATTAAGGTCGTTTTCACTCACTTTTGAAAACTTGAACTGTGTTTAATATCCACAGAGTTGTAAAGACATTTGGTAATTTAAATTACATCCGTATCTTTCAATTTTTTCGAGATAAAAAGTCAAAAATTTCATTTTTGTAAAGTTTTGAGACCACTCCGGCTCAGTTTTTCAAATAAATTCACGTTTTGTTACATATTTTTAGTAGACATAATAATTCAGTGAATTTCCTGATCTATTTCACCACCCGGTACGAAGAAAATTTATTTTTGATTGACAAATCGCTTCGGCACTGCAATAAAGCATTGTTGGTGTTTCGGTCAATCAAATATGAAAGTTGTGATATTTTCGTATCACATGTTTATTGAACAATGTTTTTAAAAGTTTTTGAATAATATATTTTGTCTTAAAGATATTTTATGGTGTGTTCACTTTAATTTTATCAGTTTTTGGAGTCCTTCATCAGCTTCAGTAAAACGTAGTTGTTTGTCGCGTTTGTACGTTTTGCGCTTGTAGAAAATATAAGCAGTCCAGTCAACTACAGACATCTTCGAAAGTTAAACGAAGCCGTGTTTCAAACAACTGAAATTGTTTAATTATATATCCGAAATAAGCAAGTAAAACCCGTTCCTGTCTAACTGTAATTGTGTGAATACAAGCAAAGAGGATGTGTACCACCGACTCCATGAAGTTTGTATAGTTCCCTTGATGATGGTGGTATAGAAAGGTATCATTATCACAAATTTTGTAACAAATCAGACACTAATATGGTCAATTTAGAAAAGTTAACACAGCCTTATATTTCAGATGATCATGCAGATTCTGTTCAT